TTTTTTTTTTTTTTTTGACTCGTTTCTTCCCCCTTCTTTCCTATTGTTGTTGACTTGTTAGCATGTGAAATTCATAAACCTATAACGGTTATAATGCTCTCCATGAATGTGATATCGGAATTCGCACGATCAAGCATTTCCAAGGAGACCTATTTACGGTACTATTAAAAGTTGGAAAAACAAATCAGCTTTATCGGGAGGATTGGAGCAAGAACGCATTTTATACCAAAAATATCYACTAAAGTCATTCGAACGGACTCTTCAGAGATGTCGAACTCTCTTTTCCTATCCTAWTATCCTTCACTTTTTTTAATATTTCTATTAGTTGAATAGGTCGAAGGTCGCCCAGTGCAAGGCATGTATTCAACGATCTCTCGACCGTTGTTGAAGGCTTTTTACACGAAATCTGGTTAGAAATACAAATTTTGATTCTTGTTCGATATTTTTATCCATTGTAAAAATCGCAACGCATTACTGAAGTGTACCGGCTTAAGCAGCTACTGTGAACAAACTGGTTGACAGTTCGCGCTCATATTTGTTATAGCAATTAAGGGATATAATTTAACTAAAATATGCGGGTACTTTTTTGTCACTATGTAAGTCGATATCAGTGTGTGAAATATAGTGGGAAAAGCAATAAAAAGTATCCCACCTGATATAGTCCTTTCTTTCCATTGTATTTGTTGTACCAACTTCTGAAACCCTTTTCAATGCTGAGAAACTATAAGCTGTTATTGACAAAGGATGTGATAAGAAGACTGATTTATAGCAAAAAACAAGTTGAAACCTAATACATTGAGAGGCTACATTTAGAATGTCAAAGTGGAATATTGAAAATAGAATTATATTTTCTATTCTATTCGTTCTTATTGGGTGGCTTTTGTCTCACGTGCTCTTCATCTCCAAAATGTGGGTCCCGAATAGGTCATACCTAGGTAGAAAGCTTACGAARGTGTTACCAGCTTTTCTATGAGAGGTATATGATTAAGAAACTGAATCGGATGTGTGCTATTGAAATGTCGCAATGCTTTTAGAAGTAGGTTCTAGCAAACATTGTAACGTGTAACATTACGAAAATAGCTCGCTAATTCATAACAGTGASAAAGTAAGAACATTGACATGTTAGTGAGAATGTGGGTAATATTCGAGACCCTTCAAATTATTCCTCCAAAGTTTAAATGTGGAATTCTGACAGTTCTCCAATATCTTCACCTGGGTCCCCCGTTAGTATACAGGTGTAATTAAATAATTTTATTTATTTGTTTAGAAGAGAAATAAATATAAATAGTTATTCCACTTATATACATATATATATATATATATGTAAAGCACTGGCTGCTAGGGCCTTTGGCTTGATTAATATGTACAGATTCAGTTATTACATTTTTATTACTTAAGACTGAAGCAAATTAAATATTAGTTTGTACTTCAGTTACTTATATGTATATTAAATAGTTAATTTACATATTTGCATATATTTTATAAAAAGGTTAATGTTATTGTCATCTGTCCGATGGTTTGTTGTTACCAAAAATCAAGACTCTTTGATGTTGTACGTGTGTGCGGTGATCGAATATATGAAGTATTGGGAAATCTTCCGAACCACATAAAGTGCACATGGGTTTGCTTCTACCATTCAAAAGGTGTCCATGTGTCGCAATTGTATGTCCAATCCTTATGCGTGTGAATGTTTCTATATACTCACAAGGGATGGTATTGGAATAATGTGGTTTTTGGCCTAATGGATTAGCAAGTTTATAATAGTGGTTACAGTCTCTCCAATCGTTTAGACAACAGATCGAGATATGTTGTTTAACGTATTTCTTAATATCCTTTGTGGTGAAGTATGCTGACGTATGCAAAGGTTCTTTATTTGCTCTTTCGCTCGTTTGTCAGCCATTTCGTTGCCTTGAATCCCTGTGTATCCAGGTATCCACATAATTTTTATTATGTTATTGTGTTGAGAAATAAGGTTTTTTATTTTTGTAATCAGGTGGGAATCTTTTGATTGGTTGAAAATGGCATCTATGGCGGATTTACTGCCGCTGCAAATAACAGTTTCCTTTCCATTCCAAGCGGTAAAACGAATCGCTTAAAGTATCGCAGCTGTTTCAGCTGTAAATGCCGCGCAGTACGAAGGCAAAACAAAAGCAGCTATGGTGACATCGTTCTTGTTTGTCA